TTCCAAAAGGGGTAAGATACAAAGTCCAGCCATAGATTGTGTTCACGTCCTTCTCTCAAGTAAAGGTTGTTCTTTAATCCAGCAGTGTTCTGTCCTTGCTGTTGTTGCTCAGTGAACTCTTTGTGTATCGGATAGCGTGTATTTTTGCTGGGCACCGAAGTCTCATGAAATGTATTTTCTTTGACTTCCACATCTGCAGGGAAAAAAATCTGTTACCGAAAAGATACCTTGCTGACATCTCGGATGTTATTTTCGTGCTTATGGAAAAGTGACTTGGTATCGCAAATCTGTTGGGTTTATTGCTGATAGCAAAGCTTTTTAATACTTTTATAAATACATGTTCTGAAGAAATGTGTAGGTTTTTTTCTTTCATTGTGTAGTTTTTTCTCTTTCATTTTGCATAACTTGTTTTACCCTGAATTCTCATTGCTTGTTTTTGAGGATGTTTGTAAAGATGCCACTGGCGTAAAGATGTAAGTAATTAGATGACGAGCTTCCCAGCAAGACATCCATACTTATGCTTAAGTACTTCTTCTATATAACCTTTTTCTGAGATTATTTGGAAGAAGCATATCCCCTTTTCAGAGCTGAAAAGAAACAATTCCAGTGTCTTCCTGTGGCCTGGCACTTGCTGTTTAGTAAGAGACTGGCATAAGGAGAATCATTACAATGGCTTAAAACTTGACTATGTTAAATATGTACTTACTGAAGATTGTTTCTTGAATTTGTTGCCAGGTGTTTATACGTAAAAAGCATCACATTAATTACATGTTTCCAATGCACATTAATTATGTGCTTCCAATGTAAAAATGTTGCTGTGTGCCTGCAGTAGAGCAGATACGGCTCAGTACAAAGAAGGGCTACAAGGCCTAAGCAGGAAATTCATGAGATAAATATGGTACAGAACATATTAAGTTAGAGCAAAAGCAACAAGGATTTAGAGAGATGATGAGCTGTGTCACTGAGGGTGTGGGACAGATCTGGGGATAAGTTAATAATAATACTTTGGGGTTGTATCATGGGTTGCCGTCGCAAGCTATTTCAGCTGCTCTTTTCCAGAGTTGTGTGCGCTGTTACATGCGTTCCCAGGTTGTTGAAATTGGGCACATGTCTCTAATTACAGATAGCAAAAGTTGAGTCTGTCAGGGCTAAATTGGGATTGTAGTTGATGGACTGGTTCTTCTGAATACTTGCTACTCTAGCAGTTCTTTCGCGTGTTCTGGTTGCTGACAAAGTTCAGCCTTGAAGCCCTAGTACCTAGCAGAGTTTCTTTGTATGGAGCTAGGCTGTTGCTGGGGCTGAGCTAAGGGTTTTTCGGTACAGTTGCTGGATGATGTAGTTATTGGAGTAGTTCTATTTGTTTGCTAGACCAGTCACTGAGAAGTTGAAACAAGCCACAGTTTACTTATTAAATGGCTTTGCAGTTTGATTGCATGTATCTGTAATAAAAAATAGGTTACTCACCTAAATTAGGCATGATTATGTCTAGACGTTATCTGATGGGTATTTATCTGTCGGCAATGAATGGTCTGAATTGCCCATGGAATTGGATACAGTAGTAGGTTTGCCCACTTAAGGTTTACTTAAAATTTTTGCAGTTATTGAAGTTAATGGTTACACTGTAACCTTTTAGTGAGATTACAGTGCTGTGATTTTGATTTGCCATCGATGCTGTGCTTTCTAGGTAGGATTTAAATCCATCGTATGTAAGCGCTGCAGGATTATTACTCTAGCGTGCAATTTTTGTTAGTGTCCCTACAACTATTGACTTACCAGTGCGCATCACAAATCTTGAAATAAAAGTATTCTCTTTACTGTGTTGTAACTGAAATATGAGGAATCTTAGGAACTGTCTGTTGTATAGCTTGAAGGAAAAAGCGACCAAAAAAGATCTAGGCTTTGCCAGCTGATGGATTTTTAGCCTGTATATGAATTCTTATCTGTGTATCTGTTTAAAAAAAAAAAATAGAGAAACATTAGATTTTTTTTTTTCCCTCAACGGTTTTCCTTTTCTTCTTCAAAAAATAGCACAGGAAGGGACTGTGCTTAACCCTGAAGTGCCCTTTTTTTTTTTTTATTTAATTGACAGTGCAGGGGCCTCATGATACAATAGTTGTATCATTCATCTTCTAATGCCCTTGGTAACCTTCTTCCAGTAAACTTAGAGAAGGGAGATTTGCTGTTGCAGTGGAATTTCTTTAGCCCCATTAGAAAACTAAAAACATCTTAGGCACAATCATTTTACAAGATGATCTTTCCAGTGATCATGAGTTTGAAATGTAACTTCTTCAAAAGGTTTTGTTTTGTTTTGTTTTTTTTATTCCAATAATATAGCTGCATTTTGGGCCTACATTTCATTAACAATGAGGTGCAGGTCAGATGAGACACTCTCAACCTGGGAACTTCAAATAACACCTAAGAGTAGAACGGCATTGGATTAAGTGTAATATAATCACCTGTGCAAACATACGAGATTTTGCATGAAACATTGAATAATTTAGTTTTATCTTCCAGTGCTAGGTAAAGATTTTTAAACGGTCAAATGAAAAACTGTTGCTTGGCATGTTAGAGATTAAAGTGTCGTGCTTTTTGCAGGAGGCTTATGCTATAAGTATACAAGAAAGACTCAATGTAAATTTGGTTAGGACAGGCATTGAAGTAAATAAATTAATAGTCTAGAGGAAAGCTGTGAGCATCTCGGTGGGGGTGCTTAGCTCTTCATAAAGCCTAAGTGCTTTTCAAACATTGATCCTCTTCCCCTTGAAGGGGACCAAGGTCGGGGATAATGGTGTAGGCAGCTGGAGAGGAGAACAAGATAGAGAAGCAGGGGAGGTGGAAGGGGAGGGAGAAATCACATGAGAATGACTAAATCTATTATTCTCGCAAAAGCTGAACTGTGGTGGCACTTCCATGTAAACCAATAACTGATGAGGCTACAGTAAACACTGAAGTTTTGCACAGAATTGCGTTTAGGATTAGGGAACTGACTGAACACATCATGACCCTGTCTTGTCAATGAATTCTCTGTTAACACTTTCAAATGATTCCTCTGACTTTAATATTTCACCTGCAGAGGCTTAGCGTGTCTTCTATTGCTTGTCATCTTCGACTCAGGGAATGGGTGGGTGACATTGCAAATTAATGTGATACACTCAACCTGTCGTCTTCTTGTGTGTTTTCTACTTAGCTTCCACAAAATGCCATGTCAATGACAACTTAATGATTGTGGATTTCACAATATTGTGAAAACTTGTTTAACAAAAGTATGAAAGCTTATTTATAAAGCAAAACAGAAAGCAATCAGTAGCTTCATGCGTTTATATGTGCATAATAAGCATTTGCATTACATTTTAGGCTTGCAATAGAATATATGAGTTTGTTTGAATAAGACAAGAGGCTTCTTATTTTCAGGGGAAGTCTGCATTCATATGGTTTCCCCTGAATTGGGAACATTTGAAAATGTATACTGAAGAGCTCCATCAGTAATGTTGTATTTGGAATATTTTTTGGTAACAAAATAGTTTCAGAAGCTTTTCTTTAGAAGTAAGTGGCTTCATATTTTCTATAGCTATTAAATGTCAGAGTCCTTACATTACTCTCAAAATATGTTACTTTAAATTAGCCTTCCAAATAAGTGAAGCTTCCATGTCACAAAGCTTATATTAAGTACTAGAAAATAAAACAACTGAAGAAATAAACCTAGGTATTTCTTTAGCCAGCTTTAATCAGACACAAATTTGAAATTCCTACTCCAAGCTAGTCGTTTTATTCTGTAGTATATAAAACAAAGCCAGACAATCTTCCTTGATCTTGTATTGGGGATTTAATTGCCAGGCAGATGTTACAGTTTGCAGCAGTAGGACTGGGTGAGAGAACAGCAATGGCAGCCAGTGTTGTTGTGCAGAGCGGGGGTCCCAACTTAATTTGCCAGAAACCAGTGCAGCAGCGCTTTCTGTGCAACGTGCATGTGGTCACTAACTTTTCCAGTCAGAAATTCAGGCCCACACCTCTTCTGTTCTCTTCCCCAAATAGAAATCTAATTCAAGGTTTTGTACTGCAATCCTGCTCCAAATGCCATGTGGTGATTTCCAAAAGTTAACTGCTAAAATTTTCAAGCTTTGAAGTACCTGGTTTTCTAAAAAAAATAAGTTCCTCCTCCTCTTCTTTCATTATGAAAAAGGAAATGTACACTGTTAAAGCTACTGATGCTGTCTTACTTTGCAGAATCTGTGTTGGATTTGAGTATTACGTCCTTGTGAAAAGGAAGGAATGTGACTCAAGATCGTGGAACATTTGTATTGTAAAATTAAGCATGGTTAGAACAGCTTATGCTAGCATTTCAGTCCTTACTGATTTGTGTATCATAAGTGGTATGGTAATTATTTGCCTATGTGGTGGAATTCTAGCAAGGAGAACTTTCTAAGTGCATATTCCCTTTGGATAGTTGTGGGCCATTTTCTTTTATATACAGATTCTGGAATGAGTAGCTTCTTTATTTTAAATTTGCCATAGCTTGGTCTAATTAGAGTTAAAACAATTTTTTTTCCTGTCTTACCTTACAATTATACAAATAGTGGTAGGCCTGCATGCTTGTTGTTAATATCCTGCTACCAAAAACCTTGCTGTAAGCTCTGAAGACAATCAAGTAAGATTATTATTTTTTGCATTCTCTCTCTCTTAGTCATAAAGGAGTGGCAAACAGGAAAAAGAAGTAGGTCTTTGGATACATTAGTTTGTAATGCTAAAATCTGCATAGCCAACTCAAAAAACAATGAACGAGACAGATATAATGTTACTTGAAACACTGTTTAGAGTTTTTTAGTTTGTTCTTTGATAGCTTAATCTAAAAGTTTTTTTCCTCTTGATTGGAAGCTTGTTTGCTGTAAGTACATGCGGCGTATTTCAAAGTACTACTATCTATGTATATTATTTGTGCTTAACACTGTCTTCCTGATGAAGCAAGAGTGGTTTACGAATCAGTTTGTTGATGATGTCTTTTCAGATTACGTCAGATATGACTATGTGAGTAGCCTAGGATAGCCCAAAGAAAGGACATGATGTCAGAATAACACGCAAAACATTTGTGAGGTATGTGGGGTGTTTTTCTGTCATGCTAAAAAAATTCTTGGTTGTCTTTAATACAGTTAAACCAAATGAATACAGCAATTTTATGGCATTTCATTTGTATGCTAAAGGAGTTGCTTGTAGAACTGATCTCAAATCCACATTTGTCATGACACACACAAATACTGAATTTTTTTTTTCCCCAGAATCTTGATGTCTCTTCTGATTTAAGGTAACTTGTTGATTTGAGCAGCTGAAAACTTGCCTTGATTGAAACATAATTGTATATTTCTTCTTCTGAGGTATTGCACTTTAGCTGGAAGGAATTCCAAATTGGTGTTCTGTAGGAAGCTTCAGAGTTGGGAGGTTGGTTTTGATTCATTGATTCCTCTCAAACACTTCAAAACATCTGTGCAGCAGGAGGTCTTGAAGGAGTGGGGTTTCTAAACAGTCTTTTGGTGAGAAAAAAACAAAAAAGACATTCTGTTTTTGAAAAAATGTTCCACATTACTTAATGTATTGACTTTTTTAAACAAAAAGGTAAAATTGGGGAAAAAAGGAAAAAAATGGAAAAGGCGCGTACTTTTGCCATTGTGAATTTAGTGGAATTTACCCTAAATTTGAGTTGACAAAACCAGAATTTGCCAGTGAAAAAATATTTTGACAAAATACTAATATGTGAATGCACTGTATATGACTGTTTCTGCAGTATGGCCACTTGTCTCTTTCGAAGAAGTTTGGCTCTTTAGAGCATTTGTTGGGTATTTTGTGTGCGTGCTAACTTTGCTTGACTGTCAGCTCTTCATATGCTTCAAGGCTTAGTTGAAAGTTTATTGTATGTACTTTTTTGCAGGTCCTTTTTTTTTGAGAGAGAGAAAGTTAGACAGTAACATTTCTTAGAAGTTATATATGCCCCTTTTTGATGAAATAATAGCTGCTTTGCCTAGTTATCTTCATGTTCCAGCTGCTAATTATGTAGGCTTCATGAAGCTTGACTTTTCTTTTAGAAGTCTTGACCACAAGGGGTGGTTGGTGTCCCAAAGTGCTATTGAAATTAATCGGCATAGATTGTAATTTTAACTGTAAACATCTAGAAAGATTAGAATAACTTAAAATGGCTGAAAAGAGGGCCTTATCTAAGTTAAGCTTGAATTGCTTTTAAGGGAGGGGAAGTTTATTCTTTTCTATTCTTTTTTCTATTCTTTTTTCTATTCTTTTTTCTATTCTTTTTTCTATTCTTTTTTCTATTCTTTTTTCTATTCTTTTTTCTATTCTTTTTTCTATTCTTTTTTCTATTCTTTTTTCTATTCTTTTCATATGTGACTACCTTCATCCATGGCTTAGTAGCCACATTCTGGTAAGACAGGGTGCTTTTGTGTTTAAAAAAAAAAAAACAAAACAAAAACGGGGGCGGGGGAGGGACACCCAACAAACCACACCCCCCAAAAAACCCCAAACAAAACCAAACCAAAAAACCCTAACGTGTGGATAGAAAACACAGTGTAACTACTAGAAATTGTAATGTTGCATTGTTAGCGACTAAATCCAAGCACCAGAGCTGTGTTTCAGTTTGTTCTGTTTCACAACCAGAGAATGTAGCCTGCACTTGACTGTGTCCTATGAGTTTCTCGGCTAGCTGTTTTAACTGTTGCTCTGGTGACTCTACACTGCAATCTGCATATACTTGTTTTCATTTCTAGTCTCTTGGATTATTCCTGCCTAGTTCTAGCATTAAGGCTTAAGAATCAGAAAGATTTACTGGGCGCAATATGTTTATCTGATTCCTGGTAGATAGGACTGAGCGTTTTTTAAAGGGTTTAGAAATACATAGCTTCATCTGAAAACTGTCTCAGTGTGAGTCTCTTTACCTGGTAATGGTCACTTTGACCATTTTAGACTAACAAAGTGATCCTATAGCCAAGGTTTCAGGATGTAAATGGAAGTGCCATAATTCCTACAAGTCATATATAGGCTACCATTAATTAGTAAGGGGGAAAAACTGAGACTTCTGCGTGGCTGTCATCAGTCAATATAATGCTTTCAAGTTTATCTCAGACATGGTCTTTAATAGCATGAATCAATATGATTTTTAGAGCACAGTATGCTTTTAAAGTAGCAGGCTATTCTTAATGCATAATGTTTAAGCTTTAATTTGTCTCCTGTTTGTTGATAGCACTTCAGTTCTGCCATTTCGTATCTTTGCTTGTTAGAGATGTCTGGAAAAATAATTCTGGTTTTATGAAAACTATTAAGGTTTCAAGTCTTGTTTTTTGTTCCACATTGGAACAACAACAAAGCCCGAAAAGAGTTTTCATTAAACTAAATTAAAGTGTTCTTTGAAAATCTGGTTCATGTAATCTGTTGCCACGCTGATTTAACCACTACCATTTGTTTCCCTTAAGTTTGGTCTGATCTGAGACAGCTTTGTAAGTTATCCAATATATCTTTGTAACAGGTTTGGGTTTTTTTCAATACAATAGCACTTTTGTCAACAAATTTAGCTGTTTTCTAACTTGCTCTGTTTTTTGTTGTGAACAATGTACTAGAACAGCTTTATTTCTGTTCTGTTTTTTCCTTCTGCTCTTCCCTGGGTTGCTGGAGCAGTATGAAAAGGCAGCAGTCTGTTGCCATAATTTGCTGTTTTCTGACAGACATGAGCTGTAATTTAATGAAGACTTTGCCATTTTAGTTTGAGATAAAAGAAGGAGGTTGCATTTTTAGCAAAAGGGGAAGAATGGTTTATAGGCACAGCAAGACGGAAATGAAACCATTCTAAAATCCCTTTGTCAAGCATTGACGTTTCATGGTAAAAAAAAGTTAGGGAATTAATAAAACTCAGTAAATGGCTTAAAAAAATGTTGACGAAACTTTGTAAATTAGTATCTTTTGATTGCAGAAGTATTTCATCTTTACGTAGTCATAAAATTGTTCAGGTTCTGATAAAAAAAAAAAAAATCTCAGTAATCTATTTTGAACTTGGATACATTTTATCTTACCAAAAGAAAAAACGAGAGCCACCTGTATTTCCAGTTTCCTCATGCATAATAAGGGTGTCCTTGCTTCCTGCAGGGCAAGGCCAGAAAACCATGCAGTCATCAGGGCACAGATTCCGTGATGTTGAGCACCACCCGCTTCTTGCTGAAAATGACAGCTACGATTCCTCTTCCTCAGAGGCTGACATGGCAGAGAGGGTTTGGTTCATCCGAGATGGCTGTGGTATGGTCTGTGCTATAATGACATGGCTTCTGGTTGTCTATGCAGACTTCGTAGTGACTTTTGTCATGTTGCTGCCTTCCAAAGACTTTTGGTACTCTGTGATCAACGGTGTTCTCTTTAACTGCTTGGCAGTACTAGCTTTGTCATCGCATCTGAGAACTATGCTAACTGATCCAGTAAGTATGCGATCGTTCCTTGACGTTGGATTGTTCTCTCCTGTAGCTCATCGTCTGCAGAGAAATTTGGAGGAGTGGCATCAGTCTCGTCCTGCTAGGAAAAGTAGTGTTAGATGCAGAACCCTCAAGTTGAAAGGGTGATATCTGTACTTTTCCTGTTGTTCTGTTAATGAATCCATAAATAATTTTTGACTTGAGCAGGCAGTATAAAATTAATTTGTAAGGGAGAAGTAGGCTCATGAGAAATACAGTTTATTTGTTAAATACTAACCCAGGTTCTGAAGAAACTAACAAAGCTTTGGTCTTTTCTGTCCTAATATTTCTTACTTTTTTTCATCAGATACATTTTCAAAACTTCATAAGATGATGTAGCTTCATCCCGTTGTGTCATTTGAAATGTGTCTTCCATTTATGGCACATGAAAGAACTTTTAGAGGTAGACATGCTGAAAAACCTCAGTCACATGTTGACATAAAGAACTACAGTCCTACATGGTTCATGCATTATTGTGTTTAGGTATTTGGAGTCATTGGGAAGGGAGATTTAAGCTGAACCCACACTGGAACAGTGTAGGTTTAAGAGGCCTTGAAAGTACTCATTTCTTAGGACTTCTACTCTTCAAGAGTTCAGGAGATGAAATTATTTTGTACTAAAATCTATTACCCTCTTTTAGGGAACAAATCTGGGGAGAGAGGGGTGGGGGAAAACCCATCTGTTTTCTCCAGATTTTTGAGACAGTGACAGTGTATACAGAAGTTATGGGAACGTTAAAAAAAAATACTAGCAGGGTGTTGTAGTTAATGGTTTTCTAGGTCTTTGATTTACTTCTGAGCCCACACCCAGTGATGAAATGTTATGACTTCTACAGACTGTGACAGCTAAGGAAGTTAATGGTTTATGGATAGATTGCTTAAAAATATGTCCTGGTAAAACTCTGTGTCTTTCTAGACCTGTGTTGTTCTTTATGGACAAAACATGATAGAAACTGAGATGAATCACTGCCTTTTATCCTCCGCTCCTTTCCTGCTGTCTCCCAGAATGGAGGACACGACTGTGTGATAGAAACTAAGATTGAAGGAAAAAAAGAATAAACTGCCTCAAAACATGTGAATTAAATTTACTCTTAGAACTATAAAAATAGATTTGCCATTGAAAGGAATTGGTGACCATCTGAGACTATGAAAGAAATTTTTGAAATGGAGCATATTTTTATCAGCAAAATGCTAAAAGCATGGCCTGAAGTTATTGTCTTTAGTGACAGGGGAATAGGTGAATGCGAGATGTGTTTTAGAAGCATAAATTTACCTGGAACAGGATAAATTTGTGCTTTAGGAGTTCTCTCTGAGATAATTCACCATGCTTACATCAAAGTATTAACTTCAGTGAGAACATTCATATTGCAAAAACCACTTCAGCAATACAACATGAGTGTTTAAGAAGTGCTCTTTCAGTTCAAATCCCTGCAAAGGACAGCTGGCTCCAGTTTGAAGCACCACTTAGCCAAAGAGCTCATCTGAGGCAGAACTTGGGCTGTTTCTCAGGCAATACAAACACAAGATTGTTATTCCAGGCAATAGGCAACAAAAACTTTCTGCTGAAGTAGAGAGGTGTTTTGCAATTGAATCTGAAGTGCCTGCTGGTTTGTTAATTCTGTCACAAAAACTTCCTTAAGGTATCTGTGTAAAGTGATGATATTGCCAGTGGGCTTTTTTTGAATGAGAAATAATTATAGAATATTGTAGGTGATTTAAGCTGACCTGGAGAAGGTTATCCCCGTGTGAAGTAAGTGCTGGCCTGGAGGAGCAGGTACAGAATGGGCATTGCACTTTCATTTTGCATCCCAGTTTCTTTTGCAATCACTTCCTGTCACAGATAAGCCTTTAGGTCTATAAATAAGCAAGGTGACAGTGGTACTTTCCATTATTTTCTCCTTACTAATCCAAAGTTAGATTCTGCTCTCGCGAGGCTTTAGGTTAATATTGTTACTGGAAGAAGCAATCTTGCCTACTATTGCTGTCCATTCATCATCTTCCTCATTGTGTTGGAACAGCTGCTAATGTAGCTCTGTGGTGAACTCAGAGAACTCATCACTAAAAAATAATTTGTCTTCCTGATGGGTTATTTTTCTTCTGGATCAGTTCCTTCACCTGTTTACCATGTAGCTACACAAACTTTCACAGTAGCAGAATGCAGCAGAGGATACTAGATGTAGAATAAAGAAGCCAGTGGTGGTTTATGGTGACAGTGCCCAAGCTAAAAGATCAAGTATAAAGGAAAAAAAGACTGTTGCTTCTTAAAAATGTGTGTGCGTGGGGCAGATGGCTAAATCTTAGATTCAGAGAATTGAAATAACATCTTCCAAGTAGTTGTTGCTGATTTAACTTTTGTGGATTGGCGTAATAATCGAGGGTCACAACAATTAACACATGCTGCCATAAGAAAGCATGTCTCTCTTACTAGTGCTCATTCAGAGTAACTTCTCGGCAAATACTGTACCTGTAGTGCTTGTATCTGCATGTAAAGATGTGTCTTCCTCCTCATTCTATGTATGCTGGTGACAGCAGATTCTGTCAGAATTATGCTATTACTTGGCATAGATGAGTGTTGCTGAAATGAAACTCAATTTGAGGTCAAGCAGAGGTAATTTATTCATTTGGAAATGATTCTGGCTTATGGCAGACTAGCTTTGAGTAAATGAACTTATTCCAGCAATTATCCTGAGATTACTGGTATGAAGTCTATAAAATGTATTTTTAAATGTTCTCATACCATCTAATCTTTCTCTCCTTTAATTGAAATGATTTCAGGGGGCTGTACCCAAAGGAAATGCCACTAAAGAATACATGGATAATTTGCAACTGAAACCAGGAGAAGTGATCTACAAATGTCCAAAGTGCTGTAGTATCAAACCTGAACGTGCACACCATTGCAGGTATGCCATAGTTTTCTTTGAAGCAGTTACGCATAATGAGTCTTGGAATAATGTTCCTGATATTTGTGTGCTAATTTTTTTCCCACAAATTTCTTTTGGCATACAGTAAACTTCTAAATTCCTATGTTGCAGAGTATTTCATAAATATAATTATACTATGGCCAAAAATTAATGTGGATGAGGGGAAAGAAACAAGAGACTCGAGAGTTTTTAAAAATAATCATACTGTGGTGTCTTAAATACTTTTTGATCTGTGAATATTTTTTCCTGTGCATCATTCTAATTACTGTGTCATGCTGTTGATAATGCAGGGCAAAGGGAAGAATCTCAAGGAAATTTCTGATAGAAGCTGATTTAAGAGATGACTCCTGCAATGTTAAATTAAGAAAATACAAATTAGTTGTAAACTGTCGCTTTAATTTGTGTCTACTTCTTTGTAGTGCGTCATTTTAAGTTATATGTGAATTGGCAGATTGTTTTCCCAAAATTGTAAGTATAACTGGTTAAATGCACTTCTGCTTATTGAAGATTCATTTTAATAAGGACAGAAGTGATGATAATTTGAACTTAACATACTATGGAAGAGATAGTAAATGTATCCATTAGTTAATTCTCAGTCTTTTGAGTTTTCAGGCACTGTGGGTGTGCATTTGTAATGTTTATTGTGTGAGAGCTGAAAATAGATATGCCTGCATAATTAAGACTTACATAAATATGTAAATGTTTCTGGTGGCTCTCTCTAGGTGTGAGGAGTGATGTGTGTTGAATTGTGTGGCTTATTAAATTTAAGTCTCTGAGTTAGTGCCCGTCAGAAGAACAGAGTGAAGTCTTGTCAGGACTCTCAAATTATTCTGTAAATTTGTGGTTTCTAAATTAAATGTCTCAGTGTATGTCACTTATCTGTGTGAAAGTTACGGCTGAGAAGTTATTTCCGTTATAAATACTCAGCCTTGGCGCTGAAATCTTGTTCTTTTCTCAGATATGGGGTTTTTTTTAATCTGGAGTGTGAAGGGAAAAGTTTCATGTATAAATAGACACGCATAGAATTATCTTCAGTTAGTTTATCTGTGTTGTAGCTTAGCTTTTGCACGGATGCGGATACCAGGCCTGCCTTCATGTGCAGTGAGTTTGGTTCTGGCTGGCTTTATTAGCTCTAGTAGAGTGCTACATGAACACAGCTGTACCCATTGCTCGGTGGGCCTGGGGGTGGAAGCAGTGCAGCTGCTTTCTTGTGGCAGAATAAAAGCTGTGAATCTCTGGGGATCCAAAACAGCTTTGTGCAGTCTGTTCAGATATCTTGGCGTTGTGTTCATGGGATGTGGTAAAGGGACACCAGAGAGCTTCTGCTGAATGTAGGTTGGATCTTGCTAATTTTCTGATCTCAGATTTAGGCTGGTTCCTACAGGGACTTCGCAGGTATCTTTGTAAGGTGTTTCCCACATCTTTGGTCCTGATAGGATTTACTCATGTGGAAGTAGCCCTAAATGAAGGCATCTTATGTTGAACTCTGCATATGAGTAAGGAAGCTGGAGTGTTGGAGAGCCTGGAGGTGCTGCAGCTCTGTGCCCCACAGAGTCCCTTGGGTACATCTGAGCCATCATCCTCAGCAGGCACTGTATTATCTTGGATGTTCCAGTAGCCTGTGGTCCCAAATAAGGTGGTGTTGATTGAAAAATTATTGTTTCTTTGTGGAAGGAGGATAAAAATAAGCTAAGTAGGGACTTCTAATACATTGTTTATAGCAAGAATTTGAGTGACACTTATTGTTAAAGCAGAGCAAGAATGGGTAGTGTTCACAGTGAAGGAAATCTGTGATACTTTCAAAGGGTTTGTTTTCACTAACCGCTGGTTCAGGGGCTTAGCTTTGCATGTCTTGGGAATTGTTTTATTTTTCTGTGCCTTGGTAAAATACACTGTGAGATTTTCCACGTAAGGTCAAAGGATGCATTTTAATACTTGCACAGTGCATAACTGGCTTCACAGAACATCTGAAAGAGAAAGCCAGCGCCTGAAAGTGTATGTGCTGTCCTTTTGTAAGCCTGCTGTCATGTTTTTCTCAGCAGTTGTATATCTGGTTTCATTGCCTTTGTTTCTGTTACTCACACAATGCGCACTACTAGTAGTTGCTGTGAACTTTTCTAAAGTAACACAAAGGATTTTTCTCTAATTTTTTTGTATGTTGAATACATACTGCATAGACCAGCTTACCAGAATCTGATTCTTTGCCATAGATTTAGTGCTGCAGAAGTGTACCAAATAGAAAAAAGGTTTGTTTGATTATACTGCCAACATTTTATTGGCTTACAAACCCATTCCAAGGACATTAAAAGGATGGTCTAGTCCCAAGTAGTCAAAGTGGCAATTTGCTGATAGAAGAGACTTGAAAATGGAAATTGAAGTTGGTTCCTGTTGGGAAATAGTTACACTCAAAGCCACAGTGTATGTTTTGAGTAGTAAATTATTAACAGAAGAGGCTCTTATGATGTAGTTATGAAAATTGTTGTGCAACACTGCAGCAGCAGTTCTTTTGAGGAAGAAAAATAGTTTCATAATACACATTAGTGATGGGAAAAAGAACAAGAAACCTTTATTTACAGCTAAATATCTAGCCTTAGTAAAATACATTAAACTGAGATTTTACTAAGCAGTTAACATTTTCAGCGTAAGGAAGAGGCTTACCCTGAGTGAGTGCTGTTTCATTTTCACTGAAGGAGCACATCTGTCATTATTTCTCGCCTATTCTGTGCCTGTGTTTGTGTGTGGGGAACTGTTATTCAGAATCAAGTCACTGAGATGTTTGCATCAGTCTTCCTATGCATTTCTGTTACCCAGACCAATTTCTCTTAAGCCATTAGATGTGTCTTTCTGAATGTTATTTTTGGCATTCAAAACTGTACTTGCACCTGCCTGAGCACGTTCAGCAGCAGTGCCAAACTGGAGAAGACCTTCCTTTGTCCACAGCTCCTTGTTCTCACTACGGCATTGCTCCTTCCTCTTGCATAGGCGTGAGTGTTCATGCATAGTGAAATGACCCAGGTTGCACCTAATGGAGTGACTTTCCCAAACTCTTGCCATATGAACATCTGTGCTTGGACAAGGGAAGGAATAGACTACAAGTGATGGGGGTAGGAAGAAGGCAGGACCGCTGTTCTCAGCATTGCTGCGAGTTTGGTGCTGGAAGCATTGGCTGAATTGTGGTGTGAGATTAGACATGAAGGCAGGCTTCCAGACATCTGATGTCTTGGAGCGCTCTGCGTGGGCTTGTGAGAAATACTGAATGAGCAAAAGTGTGTCCTGCCCACCTCACATCCTCCAGTGTTTGGCTTGATTGAGTCTGGATATGATTTTACTCAGTACTTCACATCAGTATTCTTTTTAGAGTGACAGTACATATTCAGTGTTACATTAGGAGGCTTGCATGGTTGTGGTGACTGGAGTTAGCTCACCTGCCCACAGAAATTGGGAAATTAATGAGGGGCTGACCTTACAGGCAGCAGGCTGTGAAATGAAAATCTTTTGGAGAGCCTTCTGAATTCCTTCTCTTACATGATACCTGTTTCTTCTGCACTAGAGAATGGTTGCGGTGTTTAGTTATGGTATTGGGGTTTTCATGTGTAACTGGCAATATTTAAAAAGTAATTTGCATCAGAGGATGAATCATCATTAATGTCCATAAAACAAGAGGCAGTGGGAACATAGGGGCTGGGTTATCATTAGCTCAGGGCAAAGGGAATTTCAGGGGAGCAGTGAGAGATTTGGGATTCTCTCATATAACTTGCACAGGAGTATGTTCTGCCTTTTGCTGAATTACCTAGTAACCATGCATATGCAATGATTTAAAAATTATTTTATGCCTTGGAGCATTGATTCTCCCCCCACCCCTCACTCTCCACCCCTTTCTTCACTCTAGTGACAATCATCTGGCTTTACTTCATGGCTTGTCACTGCAGCACTCACAGATATCACGAGTAAATAAGCATGCGTTAAAAACAAAGGGGTTTGAATAATAGTGCCTGCATTTTTTTAGGCTTATTTTGCTTTGCAACTGCTGAAATGAAAATGCTTAATATTTTGGATGTTCTGCAGCACACTTTGAGTGTGTGGTTGTCTTAAGCACAAAGCTAGGAAAATGAAATATCAGCTTTACTTAAGCTATTGATTTATGGAGGAACTTCAACATGTGTTGCACCTGTTCTGTTTCTCTTGTATAACTGTTCATGTTTGGCTGCAGGTGGACCTGAACATAAGGGAAACGAGCCCTCTGGTGCTGTATGGCCTAGCAGATGTAAAATGGACTTACTGAAATGTTTGACTTTTCTTTCTGGAAATAACCTTGACTCAAAACTGGGCAGAAACTAAGCAATTAATTGCAGAACTAGCAAAGAACAGTAGCATTTAAGTATTCATTAACAAGTAGGCAAGGAATGTGTGCTGCTTATAGTTTCAATATTTTTGTTTTATGTTGGGGAAGTGAGGTGTGACATTGTAAGCTGTTCTTTAGTCAAGATTTTTATTGCATGTATTTAGAGTTGTGTGGCCCATTGAAACCTAAAGAATGATGAAATCTCTCTCAAAGATGCGAATTTTTTTTTCTGACTCACAAACTAAATTTACAACTTGAAAGTCTGTAAACTTGAAATAATTACTTTGCCTAAAAAAAGCTTCTCCAGAAGGGAAGGGTTTGGGTTTTTTTTTAAATACTGAATCTAGAATGAACTGAAGCTTTGCTCATTCAGTGCCACAAGTGTCTAAAACAAGTTACGGTGTTCACTTGATTGTGTGTTTGGATATGCAATGATACTCATATTAATACTGTTTTTCTTATGTGAAGATGGTCTTATCTACGCAGTCAGTTTTGTAACAACCAAAAGCTGAGTTGTAAGTGAGCAAATAGTTTCTTTAAAGAAATGCAAATAAAATCAATGTTTGCAGTTTGTCAAGAAAGATTTCAGCACGTCATCTTGTGACCACTGGATACCCTTGTTTCTACATTAAAATGCAAAGTATTGTTTCTCAACAGAAGTCTCTTTTCCTTTCCTTTAGTATTTGCAAACGATGTATTCGAAAGATGGATCACCACTGCCCGTGGGTGAATAATTGTGTGGGGGAGAAAAATCAGAGATTTTTTGTTCTGTTTACGGTAAGTGAAAATCAACAGCCGCTTGATATCAGTATGAATCTACCTTGATTATAACAATTTTGGTTGTACTTACTAGTGACTAATAGCTTAAGGGCACAAATGTTTTGCGTTGTTTTTTTTTTTTTTTCCTTCTATGCAAGATACTCTCCAAGCAGGAAAATACTTCTGTTCATACTCATTTTAACCTGTTTCGTAAAGTGCTGTTAGTTTAAACTATCTTAATTTTGCTGTGTGTTATATAGTAACAATTAGTGAAATGGTACTGTGATTTAGGGAGATAATCCTTAAACTTTCATTGTTGTCCACACTTTTAGATTCAAGCTTAAGTAGAATTTGTTTTTACATTATTGTATTGAATTAAAAATTGAAATAGGAAAATATATCCACTGTGCAGTGGTGAAGGCTGACTGAAAGGAACGTTTGGTTTGCTACCTGGCAGCAGTCAAAAGTAAGCGCTCTCTCTTATTTCCAGATGTATATAGCCCTAATTTCAGCTCATGCGCTCGTACTGTGTGGGTTTCAGTTTTTCTCCTGTGTCCGAGGGCAGTGGACTGGTAAGCAAATACTTAACTTTCACTGTCATAATCTAGCAGAAATTAAGGGAACATCATAGTGTTCCACCTATTTCAGTCCCATGTACGAAATATTACAGGACTTTGATCTTTTTAAAGCGAGGTCCTGAAGATGTTTCATACCTGTTCATCCATCTCTCTCTCTTTTTTTTCCCCCTCCCCCTTCTTTTTCTGTTAGTCATTCACTGTAAGAGCTGTGGCTGTCAAGGGCATTCTCACCCTCTTCCCACACAGTAAAAAATTACCACCTCTGTAATAGCAAGAAAACAGATAGCCAGTCCTCAAACCACCTCAGCACTATATTACCTGAAGCTGCCAGCTGGGCTTTGTGTGTCACACCACAGTTCTGTGAATGACAGCTGAAACTTAAACAAATTTCTCCCTCATTCTTGTATTGGAGCCAACTGTGGGGCTCCTGTAGAAATTTCATAAATTGTCCCAATTGTTTGTTTAGGGCTCCGACTTGCATTTCTTAATGTTCCAGTGTGCCAGAGCTCATTCTGATCTTGTGCTTTTGACAGAACATGGTTGACCATATGTTCTTCCTGGTACCTGAAGCAACAGGGGAATCCACGTGACTGGTTTTTGCTGAATAATCCATTAAATGGATGGAATCTTAGTCCTTTTTTACTTGAAACATTTTGCTTCCTGTATACTATCCCATTTCTTGGGATATCAATATCAATATCATTTGTTTAACGATAATTGAGTTAATCAGTTGATCAGAGGATCTCCAGAGATCTGACTGTAAGTCAGAACCCAATTGCTTTGTGTGGTGAATTAAAAAACAATAATAAAGCAATTGCAGCAAAATGGAACATCTGGATTAACTAGCAAGTCAGAGCTGACAGTGGTGATGGTTTTTACGGCATTTGTCATGCATGAAACTTCAAGCTGCTTTCATCTTTATGTGCAGTTCCAAGTATTTAAATTGTCTCATATGCAAACATTTATTTGATATCCTTGAAATATTGAGGCAAGATTGTGGTAATGCAGTATCACATGCTTTATAGGAAACCAAAAGTGTTACTTCCTTAAAATTCTTTATTTCCTTGGGCAGCAAATAAAACTAGAAATTAGTGCTAGAAATTAGAAATTGGTTATAATTGTGAAATGTTTCAGGTGTCAGATATTTAGCTTTTATTGCTGTTTGTTGAAGAAGGGATGTCTCAGTATGAAAATGCTCTATGGGGGGGGGTGAATTTTTTTTTTTTTTAATAACTACATATGTCACTTTCACAGAATGCAGTGACTTTTCCCCACCTGTAACTGTGATCCTGATGATCTTCTTGTGCCTTGAGGGTTTTCTGTTTCTCACTTTCACTGCAGTCATGTTTGGCACCCAAATCCACTCAATATGCAATGATGAAACGGTAAAGACCTCTACTTCTGTATGCTATAACAGTTATTCTAGGAAGATGTGATTAGATCTTGTTTTATTTGCATGAGGGGAGGTTCTTATTTTGGAGAAAACCCCAAATCTGAAATAGCTCATCATTTTTATTTTCTATAGTTGTAAGGATTAAAATACATTCTTGGGGGTTGCTTTCTAACAGAAGTTCTTGCATTATTTGCTTTTCTGACATAAAGTTTATAATTAGGTTTTCAATTGCAAAGATTGCACAGCTTCTGACTTCAGTTTGGTCCTGTACTTCTCAACTATCACAAAGTCATGATGTGTGTCATGAGAAATGTCTGCTTTTCTCAGGTTTACACTTAAACTAGCTACCTTGTATCAACCCTTCATACTTTCCTCTACTTTGATACACTTTATTAGAGTATAACCATAAACTCATGGTTTTATAAAACTGTAAGTCCATAAAACTGTGGACTTCTGGCTCCCTTGCCCTTAGATCTGCAGTGTCAAGCCTTGAGATGATGTTTTGTGACAGATAATTGACTGGAAACATAAGGAACGTGAATCTTGTGGCTTTTCAGAGTTTTCTCATGTGAGACTGTTTAAAAGTGTACTTCTGTACTGAAGAGTAACTGTGAAAAACAATTGGTAAATATCCAGCCTTCATTAGTGGGAAGTACAAAATATGATCATCATAATAATGCATTTGGGAGAGTAAGCTTAGCTTCAGTAATTGCAGTACCAGAGCCTTCTTGGAAGCCTTATTGTCCGGTTTCATTAACTGAATAAACAACTTCTAGTGTAGGTATATTGCCTGCAGATCCTCTGCTGTAACATCAGCTTTTCTGGTTTTTGTCTTTTAGTTTGAGGTGGGAAGAGGTAAAGGTTAGACCAACCTTCTTGTACACATTTTATGTTCTAAGTCTTGTGCCCTGTACCCACAGGGCTAAACCAGCCATTCTTATTTCTTCCTTACTAACAAAATAACAGTAAGAAACTAATCAGCTCACTAGCTATAAATTAAAAGAATGCAGAATAGTCATTAGTTTTGATAATTGCTGTTAGACTACTAAACTTCAGACTTAACAGTGCATCACTGCATGTCTTTATATACAGGAGATTGAAAGACTGAAGAGTGAAAAGCCAACATGGGAGCGAAGACTACGTTGGGAAGGAATGAAATCTGTTTTTGGGGGTCAGCCTTCACTCCTGTGGATCAATCCTTTTGCAGGATTTCAAATCAGGCGACTTCTACTGAGAGGAAAGAAAGGAGGACCTGAATTTTCTGTTTGAGTCTAATTATGCTGGAACTTGCGAGAATACTATATAATATTTATTTGGGGCCAGAGAAGGCTGTCTACATATAATCTGTGACCAGGTGAAACTGATACCAGACATTTGCTTGTAGCAAGCAGAGTTTTATACGTTTATCGTCACAGACATCTCATTAACTCTCAGAGACGCGAACTGGATCTGTTATGGTCTTAACAGCAAGATAACAAAGGAAAAGCACGTGGTCACACTAAAGAAGCCAAATGTTGTCATGCTACTGTAATTTATTTTATGAAATTAATTATCCGTTTTTGTTAAACCCTTTTTATTTGATAAATGTTTTGGGGAATTACCTGTGTGTTTTTATAAAAAGTATATACTTAGGTGCAGTTGTCAATCACAAGGAGGAGCATTATGGTGAAAGTTGATCTCAAATGAGACCTAGCCTTCTAAATCCAGTTTTCAGGGAATAGTGGTTTGTTCGGTTTTAATTTCTATTTCAGTTTGTCCTAATAAACAGAGCTGTACTCTTGTGTCCCACTTCAGGCACACATTCCTCATATGCAAGTGATTCAAAGGACTGGTGCACACAACAGCATAACACATCAGAGGCACTGTTACACCCCTGCCAAATGTCTTCCCAGGCTCACAAAAGCATGTCTTGTGTTTGGCAGTATTAATCTCATATGGCATTTAGGTAAGTTCTAAATCTTCAGTAAACAACACTTTAACAGCTGTGGGCCAATTTCTGCCCTGAGATATGCATCTCCAATTCTTAATGCATTGATTCTAGAGGAACATAAGTGTAGGTGTTTGAGGATTGTATCTAGTCCTCTGTGCAGGGGTAAGTGGGACCAGTGACTGTATCCTCCTGTGTGAGATTAAAATGAATGTGCTGCAGATTGGAGTTAACTGACTGAAAACAGTTGTCTCTGTAAGGTCTTGCTCTGCCCCGTTTTTTATTGTACAGACTTTTCACGTAAGGAAAGCTGTTAACTTAACGATCCCTTGAACAAAGACATCAGAGGAATGAGGGAGGTTGCCTTTTTCTCAAGTACAACATATCTTAAAACGTGCAAAGATCTGCAATAGAAGGAATTCTTTTGAATTTAACCATTTTCCAACCAAAACTACTTTCAAGAAATGAGAGCAATATACATCTAGAACTGCTTTATGTGGGCCTGACAAACAGTAGTGCTAAGAAATGTTTATAAATCTGCAAGTAATGAAATGTAAGCTGCAAGTAATGAAATTCAGCTAGAAGTGGATTCTTTAAAAATCATATTTAGACTATTTTTTATATTGTTAATCTGTTCTATAAATTACCGACAGTATAAAGGATAAAGCAGGAGCCTTGATGCATAGCTTGAAATCGTGCCTAGAAAGTAAATAGCTCCCTGTTCTGGGACTTGCCTTAAAATTGTCCTGTTCTTGCTTTTGCTTTGCCAGTAGCACTGACGATCTTTCCCACCTCAAGCAGTTTAACGTGCTGAAGAATCTTGCATTATAAAGTTTACGTCCTACAGAAGCTATACTTTCTTTTTTCAGTGACCTGCTTCTCCATTTCTTCGTAACTGTTTGTGGCATCTTGATTCCACCTTCATCAGGTTTTATACCATTGGGCGGGTGAAATTAGTAAGGGATCCATTTATTATCTATGGCCCTGCGAACAAAACTGTGCAATACTATGTAATACGTTCACTTTGCTTGGGGGAGATGGTGTGTAACACTGGACAATTTCTAGGTGGACGCATCCACTGAAATTGCAGTCAAATGAACAAAACTATGTCTCGTGTAACTGAGGGGAAAGTTGGAAGTTCCACAAGAATCTTTGCACATTCAGTTGCACATCTTAAAGGTTGGGAAGAAACGTGTCTGGCTTTGTCATGAGGCTCTTAATGTGTATATTGTTTAATAAAATATCCTGATGAAAGTCAGAAAATATCACTTCAAGCGGTTGAACCCTGTGACTTAGCAAGTGTGTGCGTGTGTGAAATCAGGTTTACTTGGCTTTTCAAACCCTTGTTACGTTGTAATTTTTTTAATGTAAAAAAAAAAATAAAGTAATGAATTGAGGTCTTAGTTGATTAACTTCTCGCTGTATGTCACTTTTTTTGCGCACGTATGTGCATATTCACATATATTTAGATTACAACAACTTCAGGGTAATGGTCTTGTATCCTTTGGCTTGTAATTTATATGTACATGTATATCAAGTAACAGATGATACTGCTCCAAATTAAAGATGCTGCTCTGCTTACTAAGGGTTTTAAGCTATGCTGACTGCTCAGCTGTTCTTAGGCATTTCCTTTTCTGCATCCTCTGGTTTAACTGCCTGTCTTATTAGTACCTGTTTGTCTGAGGCGAGTGGGAAAACACAGGGTGAATGCTTCCTGTTTGAAAACTCTTAACAAGGTATCTCGGGCTTTGCACCTTCAAGGTGTTTGTGTAAAATACAGGTTCGGACTCCCTAGTTTCTCTGTGCAAATGTTGACTTTTTCCACTAGTTCTGTAGCTTCATATACAAAGACAGCCGACTATGCAGCCTAGAAAGCAACAGTTCAGGTAGTTGCCAACAGAACAACTGACGCAGCGAGGGTGAGGAGGAAGCAAGGTGTACAAAGGCAGTAAAAGGATGGAGAGACTGGAAGCAGCTTATTTCCCATTTGCAACAATTCTAAAAAATACGTTGGTACCTTTCCTTGGTATATCATCACGCTTTTGTACACTGCTGTTTCTGTGGAGAAAATAGTTCCAAATACATTCATATAAACTTTGTGCCGCTGCTGCTTGTATTTTTGAGCAGATTAATGATTTGATTATATTTGTATGCCACAACACTTAGCCTGTGCTGTGTACACATACATTTTAAGGAAGAGCTTGTTTACTCTCCAAATGGAACAGACAACTCTGCAGATGGATCCTGCTAGTTTACCCTGTTTTATTTTCTTGTTTAATTTCTAGTAGTAATGTCAGGTTGTTTCACGAACCCTTTCTGAAGTCTTAGATGGCAGCAGTGATGAGCAAGAATTCATTTATGGACTTCTTTATGCCTATCCTGTGCAGAAGTGTTGGTTTCTATGATTGTCTCACTTCTTTCAATTGGCACTGTGTTAATATGTGAATGTATTCAATGCTATTGGAGAAAGAAAGTGGCAGAAGAGGTTTTGAAATACGGAAATTGGGCTGTAAAATGATTCTTGAATCTGTTAATAACACTAAAATGAGCACCAGCATTACAGTTCTGTACATTTTTTAAAGTGTTATTCCTCTGAACAGAGGAACAGTTCAACTCACGCAGTGTACTTTCTGGTTGAATATGGAGTGGTGCTTCTTGATTGACGAGATTGTTAAATTTTTTTGCTTGTGTCACTCTTTTTTTTTTTTTTTTTTTTTTTTTTTTTTTTTTTTTTTTTTTTTTTTTTATGGGAAAAAACACCCTT